TCCTCATCCCCTCCTTTGTCCAGGACTCAGAAATCACCCTGGAGAGCAGCAGGATCTAGGGAAGATGTCCCTGCTCACTGCAGGATGAGATGACCTGTAAAAGGGCTCTTCCAACCCAAACCATTCTGAGGAGAAAACCACCCTGCTTCAGGAGAGCACCGACTGCCACAGCACCATTCCCAGCCCCACCTGCAATCCCTCCCCATCCAACGGGTCCTAAATCACCCCACACAGGTCCTGCTGCTCCCACACCACGGTGGCCTTCTTCCCTGAAGACCTCTGTGACAGAAACATCACCTGTGTGGTGGCATCCACGGCCACAACTGGCCCCCCCCACCCCTTCCCTCCGTTCTCTCCCTTTTTCCCGGCTCCGCCGCGCTATTTCCTTGGAGCACCAAGGTCCCTGCTGCTCAGGATGGGACAGCCTCCCTGCCAAGACTCTTCCTTCTGCCACTGGAGGGAAGACCTGCTCCCAGAGCAGTTTGCAAGCCCCTCTGCTTGGTTTGAGGGCAGCCAGGGGGGAACACTGACCCGCTGCTTCTGCTCCTCCGTGCGGACGTCGCTGCGGACGTTGGCCCAGGGAATGTCCTCGGGCCACCAGATGGGTTTGCAGCTCTCCTTGCCCCAGCCTGGCTTCCCACGGCCCGTGGAATACTTCAGCATCTCGGGGATGAAGGCTCTCAGCTGTGCCTGCAACAAACCACAGCACAGGGGGGAGTTTTTAGGGTCTTTCCTCTCTGGTAGTTTTGAGGCGCTTCCAAGTTATCACAGGGTACAAAGTTACTACATTTAACACCCATCCTGTTGGAGCCATCGACTGGGAGAGGCCTGGATGCCTAAGGAAGATGGACAATACTTTACCACCTTCTCCCAGATTCAGCTTAGAGCCTGGGAAGAGCAGAGACCCAATTAAGTCAGCTAATTACAGTAATAAGGCACAACCACATGTTGTATTAACACACTGTACGGTTAAACCCTACCAGGAAGAGAGCAGGCCAACCTCAAAGGGAGAGGATAAATAAACAGATCAGAATAAGGCAGAAAAACCCACAGAACATCCTCAAAGTGGCAGGAACTGAGCCATGAGCTCAGTATCTCACAGAGATGCTGCAAAGGGGATGGAGCTCCAGGGGCTGCTCGGATGTGAAA